ACTTGCCGCCCCCCCCCCCCCCCCTCCACTTAATTTTTAATACAGGGAGTCAGGATTTTTTCCCCGGGACAGGCCATACCTCGGCAGTCGGCTCATGTGAGAATCTGTAAGAAGGGAAAACCTGAGCTACGAACTGTGAACAGATATAGCGGCAAATTTTCAAACCAGCCCGAAACGGCTGCAAGACATGAAACCTTAATCTACATTAATCCGTCCGTTCCTATTTCAGGTTTTAGAAAATTCGAGATTCTGAAGTGGCGTAGGCACGGGTGTGGCACTACTTACGGGCCGTGCCGACTATAATAAGCAAGTAGTGTATCCATCCAATCCTTGCCGCCCCCACATTCAACTGACTTTTTCTCTCCCACTTATATCTTCACATCCCAAGAAACTGAAAAAAAGATTGCACAACACAATGGCGCAAGACAGAATTGTTTTACATTAGTATGTGTTTCCAATGACCCCGATGGATTGTAGTTTTACACTTTATATTAACATGTTTCCATAGTCTTAAAGATTCTCGTGCTTCGAGAATTGTGTTTCTCTTCGAGGAATTGGGACTCGAATATGAGATCAAAGCTTACGAGTGGACACCAGAGCTTGTGGCGCCCCCGGAACTCAAGCTGGTATGGCCCCTTGGATTATCTCCCGCAGTTCAGATATTTAAAGCCGATGACCCAGAGCCAATTGTGTTGGCGGAATCGGGACAAATCGTGCAGTTCATCTTGAACAATTACGATTCAGAAGGAAAGTTCAAGCCGGAATCCATGCGTGACCAGGTCTTGGTTGACTACTACTTACATTTTGCTGAGGGCACCTTGGAACCTCATATTGTCTCTCTTTTAGTGGGCTATGTTGCGTCTCAACGGGCGCCTTTTGGTTTTGGATGGCTCGTCAAGCTCGTCTTGAGTCAGATCAACAGCCAGTTTTATCTCAGAAAACTCAAAACCGCATTGGCGTTTTTGAACAGTCAGTTGGAGGCAAAGGACGGAGGCTACTTTGTGGGCAACAAGTTGAGTGGAGCCGATTTCATCTTGGATTTTCCTATTAACGAGAATCTTTTTCTGAACCCATACAAGGTCAAGAGATTGGGCATTGACATCGACCCTTCAAAAGATTACCCTCGTTTAGTCGAGTGGAACAAACTCATTACAGAGAGGCCTCTCCATGTGAAAGCCCTTGAGAAGAAAGCCAGTGTGATGAAAAACAAGCGCGGTCTTTTGGGATGATCCAGCGAGAGTATGAATTTTAAAAGTTTTTAGGCACAAGTCTTGCGGATCATTCAAAAGTTACATTTCTGTAGGCATTGAACGTGCACCACATGTATGATCATCGAAAACTATGAATTCATACAAAGATGCTTTGTTTCTATGTGGTTCTCTTGATCCTCTGACCAAATCGTGGTCACGCAAGCCCAGCTGTCTTGAGCGCATGGTTGAATTAGATGAACAATCAACACCGATGAATGCAAGGGACCCTGTCTGAACAAGATTTTTTAGTCGTACAGTAACTGATATCCGTAAAAGCATTTTGAAATCGTGGGTCACATTTGCTTTGCATAGGGTCGGTTCTATACCGCACGATGTTTGCTCGGCCGTTCAACACCTCAGGTCAGGGCCCACCACAAAATGAGCTTTGAAGAGTGCATCTGTCAATGATAAATATTGTACTTCTGTACGTTCTACTTGCAAATCATCAATCGGAAAGCGTATTAGCGGCTTCCTGGAGCTGTTTCACTGTGGTTTTTTATTTCTTTGGAGAATTATTGAGAAGTCTGAGTAAAAAGAACCGTCACAGGAATCTCTCCTTTTTGCATTTTGAGCCCTGAAACAAGCATAGCCTCACCCTAAAAAACTTTCCGTAGATCTTTGTATTGCGGGGAAAACAGTTTTTTTTTCAGGTACAAGCTCCTGTTTCGTAAGCTTGGTTCTTAAGCTATAAGGGCAAATATTCAATTTACTCAGGTTGCAATCTTCTGCCAAAAAGCCCAGAATTTTCAAAAGGAATTTCTTTCTGTTGTAGCTCTCACTTGTCTAAGAGGTCGTATGTTTACGTTTATTATACCATAAACGATCCTGCTATGTTCAATAGAGCTTACTTAGTTGAAATCATTCATGCATGTACGTTTACTTGCTGATATTTTGAGATAATTAGAGTGCTAAGCCAAGCTTTTGGAAGTGAAAATAAAGAGGATTAATAAAAAGCTTGCACAAACTTCCCTTGAAATGGCTTAGAAGCTACGAAATCAATAAAAACCTTTTGTGCACGTTTAAGATTATATGTCTGATATTGATAGTCGCTAAATTATTTGGGGAAAAAAGGAATTCATTTCTTGGCAAATCGTGGAATAGTCAAATGCTTTGTTCTGTGAGGCGCAGCGCCGAAAAAAAGTGACAATCTCAGATCACTAACTCAAAGACACATGTCGATTTTTATATCATACTTCGGTTGAAAGAAAAATCATACGTTGATTTTTTGAATGGTGATAGTGACGATTGTAACCAGCTCAATCTATCTATGCATTTACTGATACCATATGCTTATATTTAGTGACATAAATGCAAAGAACAATCAGGTGTTACAATTAATAAATTGAGAAATACTTGGCTTGTGTTTTAAAGATGAGAAAACCTTCCCGAAAAATGATGATGCGCTAAAATTTCCCGATATTTTATTAAAACGCCTTTTGGAGTCATAATAGCTATTACCAATGCCGTCAAAATCTGCGAGATATAAAATACATAAAGTGGCCAAATCCTTCCGGGTTCTCGAAAGTCAAGACATCACCCATTCATCTCGCATCGACGTTATAAAGCATACCATTAATTAAGCCTCTTTATCCCTTTGTTCTTGAACAACAGTTAAGGTGTTTCATACCAAGTTCCAATCAAACTCTTTGTCATGAAGCTGGTTTGTTGCATGGGGTTCATGTCCTTATCTTGGTAGGTGCTATGGCTATTATGGATGATTCAGGATATATTTTTGAGGACAAATTAGAAACCTCCTCCTATTTGGGCTTCAGTGAATTTATGGTGGCTGAAAATGTACACTTCGTAGCTTTAAACAGTAATGGTGATCATTTTAACGGCGTTTTCGATAATCGGGGGGAATTTTATGTGAAAAACACTGGCAAGTCAAGAGTCAATGTGGAAATGACTGGAAATGAGTTTTTAAATGTGGGAGTATTTGTACTTAACTCCTTAGAAGCCGAAGCCGTCCCTCAATTCAGGGTTAAAGCAAAGGCTTCGTTTAGGAACTTTGGCGATATGTACGTTGGTGTTTCTGGGCTCAAGCCTTGGGTATCTATCATCGAGCTCAGTTCTGAATCAGAATGGTATAATGCAGGTATGATTGTGATTCGAAGAGAATCTGACAGCAGAGCTCCATTGCGAATGGATGCCCAAAAGTTGGTGAGAAAGCCTTTCACATTAGCTCCGGATGATGAAGTGGTTGAGATGCCACCCATGGTGAATTCTGGATCCATATGTTTGCAAAATGCTCATTGGGAGAACACGGCGATTCTTTTTGGAGAAGGTTGTATCATGGTAGGCTCTGGCTCATTTTTTAGTTTGGTTCTCCGGGATAGCGCCGACATTGGATTTCATCAAAAAATTATCATGGAATCGGACTCAAAGTTAGAAGTGTCTCAGTTTCAGTCATACGAGAATGAACCTGTCATCTTGGTCTCTGGGTTTGGCAGAAATAATGAGATACACATCGATAAAAATACCGATGGGCTCGCATATTGTGAGAGCTCGGGCAGATTGGTTCTCGGGAAATCTAACGAGTTGGTTATAGCTTTTGATATTGGCAGAGGGTATGATCTGAGTTCATTCAATTTGGCTTCGCAAACAAGGAAAAGTATCTTGACCTACAGCGGTACTGTCCCTTCAGACAGCCGCCAAATTACATGCAAGTGTGTCTCTAAGTTTCCTGACACGCCAACAGTATTTTAGTTATTGTTGAATTCACGAATAACTTCCATGAGTAAGTACGACAGGTTCTGTTCAGTTTTCGACTCTTTTTCTATTCCTCGAGTTTGTTTGTTTTCAAAATAAAAAAAAAATCATGGAATTACATCCATTGTAAAGACAGGCTCGGAATGTTCGCCAGCCGCATGGGAAGAGAACATAGAGCTGTGTATGATCAGTGTTCTTTGAATTATCATTTCGCCCACTTGATTTAACTCATAAAATTCTTAGCAGGGCTCGGTTTTTTTTTTCCTTAGTTCTACCCACAAAATCTCCCTGGATTATTTAGGAGCTCTCTCAATTTTGCAATTCTCAGCCACTGGCGTTTGCACCGCGCTCTGCTCCACACTAATCTGGCGCACGCTCATTATACACAACCTCATCGCTGCACTCTCATTTTTCAGATAAGCTTGTAAAAAAAGCCAGCAGTACACAGCCCGGGATATTCAATTTCATATATTTAGTATAAAATGGCCAAGCAAAGGGGAAGAAGACAAAACAACACCTACAAGGAACGTTCGTCCGAGCAAGCTAAATCTGGCTTTGGGGCGGACATCCGCACAGAGGCCCAGCAAACGCAAGAAACTGGCGAAGAGCCCAAATCCGAATTTTCGTCCGTTTTTTACGGCTTGGTGGACCTGAACGAAATTGACTACTTCAAGCAAGCGGAGTCCACGCTCAACATAAATGCATTTGACTCCGATGAAGAAAGAGCAGGGTTCATCAGATCGGTGTTGGAGGAGTGCAGAGGAAAAGAGTTGAAGTTGGTGACAAACCAAATTTGCTCCAAACTCATGGAGCGGCTCGTTCTCTATGCGTCGGACCGCCAGTTAAAGCACATTTTTCACCAGTTCCAGGACCATTTCCCGGCGTTGGCCCACCACAAATACTCGTCGCATGTGCTTGAAACGCTTCTTGTGAGAAGCGCGGCACTCATCGAAAAAGAGCTTGCCCATGCGAACCATGCCGAGGACGAGGATTTGGAAGCTGAAAGCGGCGATGCTGCTGAAGACAAGCAGGTGACTTCCGTGCCCATGGAAGCAATGTATATCAAAATGCTTGCGCTGTTTGCGCCGTACTGGTCCACAATGATAGTACACCAGTATGCGTCCCACGTCATGCGGATTATCTTGCTCGTCACCTCCGCCAAGGAGTTGCCTTCTACAACAATGGCCCACTCGGTCTTGCGGTCGAAAAAATCGAAGATTGCGCGGAAAATGATCGAGATCAAAGACAACGAAGACTTCAACCGGGCGTACGAAGTGCCTGCCTCTTTCAAAGACGAGCTCAAGAGAATAATTGGCGCAGTGACCTCACCGCTCGATACCAAAGCAGCACGTGAGTTGGCCATCCACAAAATCGCGTCTCCCGTGCTCCAGCTCATATTAAGAGTCGAGGGTATATTTGACCGCGACCGGCCCGTATGGCACTTGCTTTTCCGCCTGGAAAAAGACGACAAGGATGCCGCAGAAGAGGCCTTTGTCGAATATCTTTTGTCTGACAGCGTGGGCTCGCACTTTCTCGAGGCGATCATCAAAAACGACGGTGCCCGGATGAAGTACATTGAGAGATTGTACAAGCTCTACATGAAGGCCCGGGTGTTGAAGTTGGCCAAGCGTGCCACCACCGGAGTCTACATCATCCAGGCGTTGATGCTCAAGCTCAAGCCCGGCGAGGTCGAGTACATCCTAGACGAGATCATCCCGGATATCTCCGGGCTTGTGTCGATCTCTGAGAACCAGAACATAGACCTAGGCAAGTCTGTTATTGAAGCGTCTATGTCGCGGTTCAACTACCGGAGAGACGACCTCGTACAGCAGCTTTTCAAGAAGTTTGCACCCAACTACTCTCCGGATGAGCCCAGCGACGACACCACCACCGAGTTCTTCGAAAATGTGCTCCAACTCACAGGCTCCACCTTGGGAAACACGCGTGACGACTGGCCCACGGCCGAGGAGAGAAGACGTGCCTTGTTCATCGAGAAATTGATGGAGTATGACTACGGGTTTGTCGTGTGTGCGTGGCTTAATTTCATGGCGTTGTCGCCGGAGAAATTCATGCAGATGTGTTTCCACGGCGTGTTCTCGCATGTGGTTGAACATGCACTTGTTGTGAAGCCAGCCTCGGAGGGCGAGCCCAAGGATATCATGATCATGAGAAAGAAGTTCTTGAACATCTTCATGGGGCACATCTTCGAGTTGTCGTGCAACTCGTACGGCTCGCATATCGTCGACAAGCTCTGGAACTTCACCGTGCTTTTGCCCATGTACAAAGACAGAATCGGGTCGGAGTTGATGGCCAATCTGCACCGGGTCAAGGACAGCACCTACGGCCGCTTGGTGTGGAAAAATTGGTCCATGGAGTTGTTCGTCCGCAAAAAGTACGACTGGAAGACGTTGGTGAAGACCCAGGAACAGGACTATCGCGCCTCTGCCGACGAGGACACTGCCGGCGAGCAGAAGAAAAAACCCATTGAGTTGAAGATGGAGCAGCTCTACAAGCAGAAACAGTACCAGGAGGAGAGAGAAAAGAGAAAAGGTGAAGACCTCGCGTACGCTGAGAAGAAGAGACAAAGAATGAGGGGCCGCGACCGGTACTAGGCGAGATCACCACAGCGTCTTCGTTGACCAATACGTAATGCAGAAATATATACGCACAAGTCCGCTCATTCATGTAGCTTCCGCAAGTGATATTCTTGCAACGTGGCCAGCAGTACATCCGTGGGGCTGTCGACCACAGGGTCTGAGCCGGACTGGTTTTTGGGGAACGCAATCACGTCTCGAATACTCAGGCTGCCGACAAGCATGGCGCACAAGCGGTCGAAGCCCAAGGCAAGTCCAGCGTGGGGCGGGCATCCCAACAGCAACGCCTTGAGAAGGTGCCCAAAAAGCTCCTGGTGGTTGCTTATTGCAAGGATCTCCTCGAAAACGTACTTCTGCAACTCCGGATCGTGGATTCTGCGTGACCCACCGCCAACCTCAACCCCGTTGATCACCAAGTCGTAGTGCTCGCCTCGGACTTTAAGAGGTTCTGTTTCAAGATACTCGTAATCTTCGCTTTTTGCCATCGTGAACGGGTGGTGTGTGGCCAGCAAGTCTGTCTTGCTATATACGGGAAACTCGGGATCGGTCTCGCCGGCCACTTCCTCGGGGCTAAACAAGGGGAAGTCTACTACCCACAGTCCGACAAAGACCTCGTTTCTGTCGTAGTCTCGCACGATGCTCCCATCCTCAGCCACAATTGGCCGGTTCCATCTGGCGGGAAATTGCTCAATTGCAAGCTGTCGGAACTTGCCCAAGGGCGTTGGATTCTCGTACGGCAACTCTGCTCTTGTCGAAAATGCAAGCACGTCCCCGGGAGCAAGTTGCAATTTCTCAAGCAAGGCTGTGGCAGAAAAGCCCTGGTTCTGCGAAATGAGGCCCTTGCCACAGAACTTTTCATACCAGGATCTTGCGTCTTCCTGCGTGGCGATTTTCACAATTACAGGTTTGCGCTTGGCATAGCTGGCAGAATCGGTCATGACATGAGGCACCTTGAACAGCTCGCCAGGCAAAAAGGCGTTTTTGAGCACACAGGCCTCCACCACAGGAAAGGCAGGGGCATTCTTGCCCGGCGTGAAGAACTCCGACACGTCGATGAACTGCAAATTCGAGCGCAAGTCCGGCTTGTCGATTCCGTATTTGGACAACGCCTCAAGGTAAGTCAAAGTTGTGAAGGGGATCTTGGACTCTTCGTCTTTTGGGATTGGGTGTAAGAGTCCATCGGCCCCGACTATGTGCATTGGGTGCGGACACGCAGCCTTCCACACCTTCTGAACAAGGTCGTCCACCACGGCAGTGACCTGGTCACGTGAGTTGATGAAGCTGAGTTCCATATCCACTTGGGTGAATTCGGGCTGCCGGTCTGCACGGAGGTCCTCGTCTCTGAAACATTTGGCGATCTGGAAGTACCGGGAGAACCCCGAGCTCATCAAGATCTGCTTATACTGCTGTGGAGACTGTGGAAGCGCATAAAGACGGGAGGGCGACCGGGTGGGAACCAAGAACTCGCGTGCGCCCTCGGGCGTGGACTTGAATAAGAGCGGGGTCTCGATCTCGGTGAACTTGTGGGACTCTGTCAAAACGTTACGGATTAAGCTGGCGACTTTGCTTCTTGTTCTGAGCGCGTTTTGGTAAAACGGCGTGCGGAGCTGCAAGTACCGGAATTTCGCCGGGATGTCCGCCGGATTGGCGTGTTTCAACTTGTCCAAACGGGCCGCCTCGACGCCGGCGGAATTGAGAGTCTGAAACTGCGACACGACCACCTCAAACTCGGAATTTTGAGCGCCTTTTTTCGCGTGTTTTGCTTGCACAAACCCGCTCACGCTGATGGAGTCTTCGGGCCCGCTAGCCTCGAGCTTTGTGAAAAACTCTGCATCGGTATGCTCGGGGGATAGAAGCAATTGGATCACGTCGCCGTTCGCGTCTCTCAACTCGGCAAAACTCCGTCTGGCCTGGATGCGAGGTTTTCTATGCAAATGGCCATGGAGCGTGACGGGCCCCTGGACCTCTGTATGGATATCCTTGACGGAATGTGTCGCAGAAGGAAACACGAATTTCGCTAGCGTGGTGTCACGTGGGGGTAGTCTGGAGAGGTTCCTTGTGGGGAATATCCCGCTTTGCTTTTGGAATGATGTGGCTGACCTTCGCATCATTGTATCCGTTTTGGCGCCGTATGTTGTCAGCGTAGCCCTGTGTTGCAGAAGCGGCGGGGACGAGTGAAGATATACCAGGCCTTGGTTAGAAATCCTGGAGATTGACCTCGCGCTTTTCGCGGGGCCAGTTCCGCAGCGAGCAGCGGGCCAATTACTGCCCTCAGCCCAGGTGGTGCAGCTTCCAATACTGCAACCGAATTTGCATCGTCAGTGGCCAGCAATCTGCAGCTGATTTTGGGCTTGAGTGATCAGTGCAGCTTGTCTGTTGGTGCTGGCCGTTTGGTTTTTTGTTTAATCTTGCACGTAGGTCAAAGTACATTGGATGTTCGCCGGCTGAAATACAAATATTGTTGCGTAGCGGTCCCCACACTGTTGGCCCCTAAGAAAATCTCGAGGAGCGGCTTGTTTTGGGTGGTATCACTTGCTGTTGTGTGATTGTGTGATCATTGGTCAACAGATTATTGGTCAAAAGATTATTGGTGTGCGCGGAACAGTGGTTGCACTCGGGAGCATCATGCTCAAAATTGAAGGCCAACTCTTGCTTCAGGGCCAAAACACAGATCCCTCACAAGCATGACATAATGCTCTATGTAGTGCCCGTAGTCAGAGGACAAATAAAACAATCGGCCAAAACCTGTCCTACCGGCCAGAGACAAGGGTGCAGGCACGCGGGCATCAGTGTCACGTGACACGGCGCAGCTGGCCGGGCAGGCTGGTGGGCGAGTGGCTGTTGGCCACTTACATCATAGCGGAAAAATATCCAAGTTTCCGGGCTCATAGTCGTGTTCTCGGTCCAAGTACCGTGCATGCTGGCGTCAATAAATTAGAGGACAATAGGACACGGGCGCGCATAGACCCAACCTGGCATCACATACGTGGTCTCGATTGCCGCTTCTATGCCAGATCGCAGCAGACCGCCATGTTCACTCGTGCACTTAACAGCCCCCCAAACCTCAGGAAAAGACATAGAGTGCCCCTGTGTTTGATTCTGGGGCCCAGCAAAGCTGCCCGACTGGAGAGACCCAATTCAGAATGTCTGGTTCACGGAACGTGTGGGAAGAATATGCCCCAATTGACGTTGTATGCCCCCATTGACGTTGTATGCCGTATGGGATGCATGGCCCGTTTGACAGGTGCATGCAAAATGGCCCACCACTCCACACCCAAAACGCCACAATATCGGGCCTTGGGCTGATTGCATAGTTACAGTGTCCAAGTTTGACCGGCCTTGTTTTTTTCTGGTGCCTTTAGATCTGTGCTCTATTCTTGCAGGGCGCCGAGCTGAAATACAACCGTTATCGGATTTGATCCTGTGCAGTCCTAGAAGTTGATCTCGCTGATTCCATGCCACTAAATTGGCACCAGCAGTCCTAACTACGGGAATAAAAGCGAGAATCCCCGCGCCATTCGCGGTACAAAACAACAATCCAATCCAAGAAAATGAAAGAAAATAAAACAAACGCAAAACATCAACGAAAAATGGCCCCTGGATTCGCCAGCACCTCTCTTGCCATGGGCCGTGCAATAAGAGCATATGCGCAGAGCGCACTTCACACAGCCGGTTTCTGGCCCTGCGCCTTGCGTTTCCATAGGCGCGAGGTGGATGCGCACATCAGGGCACGCTTCCTCCACCAGATATCTCTGGAAATTAGCAAAAACGCATAGACAGCAGCGAGCACCCCCGAGCCCGAGCCACGTGACATGATCTCCTTGCTCTCGCTCCGGCTTCCCAAACTCGTGGCCAAAGTAGTGTTGCCGCTCGCCGTGGCCATCGTTTTGCTCGTCACTGTTCTCTACCATTCGGATGTCGACACCTCCATTATAGACGGCCGGTACATGGGCATGCTTTCTTTTCTTGACGGCGCCACGGCCGCGATTCTCCCCGGCGGCTCCGGGTCCACCGTGGCGCCGCAGAATGTGGATTTCAAGTTTGTGCCCAGAAGAAACGGCGACCGGAACCAGATCTTGGCCCACAACCAAAAGGTATACGACCAGGTGCTAGCACAGGAGATCCACGAGCCCAGGGATTTCGACATGGACTCCATCAGGCCGCCGCAGGATCCCCGCGACTACAGCAGGGAAAACGCCACCATCATAGCGTTGGTCAGGAACAACGAGGTGGCCGGCATCAAGCGCACTTTGCGCCAGTTCGAAAGCAACTTCAACGCCAAGTTCCAGTACCCATACACTTTCCTCAACGACGAGCCGTTCACCGAGTCTTTCAAGGAAAGGGTCCGAGCGCTCACCAAAGCAGACGTCCAGTTCGTGCACATTCCGCCGGAAGTGTGGAACAAGCCTGCATCAATAGATCTTGCCCGCGAGAGACAGGCCATGGACCAGATGGAAAAGGAAAACGTTGCGTACGCAAAGAAGGGCTCGTACCACAACATGTGCCGGTTCTACTCGGGCTTGTTCCACGACTTGCCGGAGCTCCAGAAGTACAAGTACTACTGGCGCATCGAGCCCAATGTGCGTTTCTACACGGACCTCAACTACGACGTGTTCAAGTACTTGGCAGGCACCAAGAAAATCTACGGCTTCACCATCAGCTTATACGACATCCGGCAAAGCGTGCGCACGCTCCTTCCGGAAACGCTCCGCTTTTTGAACCAGGGCGACAACTACAAGTACGTGGATCCCAATGGCGCGTTCCAGTGGATCACGGAAAACCAGCAGAACCCGCACGTGACCGAGGCCACCAACGGATACTCCACGTGCCACTTCTGGTCCAATTTCGAGATTGCCGATATGGACTTCTACCGCGGCGACGCCTACAGAAACTGGTTCAACCACTTGGAGGCCACGGGGAACTTCTACTATGAACGCTGGGGCGACGCTCCCGTGCACTCATTGGGATTGGCGCTTTTCGCCGATAAACGCAAACTCCACTGGTTCCGAGACATCGGTTACTACCACATGCCATACACGAACTGCCCAAACAATGAGAACACCAAAGGATGCACAACGGGCAAGTTCGATGACAGTGGGCATAATCTCGACCAGAACTGCATGGCCACGTGGATCGAGTATGAGATGGAAAGCCTTGGTGCCATCTACTGATTTGCTCGATCTGGGAACGGGCTGGGTCACACGACTTCTTGAAAACACAATCTTAAGGGTTTTTTATTATGCTCCACCAACCAAGGACAGCCGATCGAGCGCATATCTTAGCATCTGTCGGTGGTCGAGTAATGTCAGCGCAACTATTGAGAACTGTGTATTATAATTGGTTTTTTGCTCGGTGCTGTCTATGATGATAAAGTCTGGAGCTAGATTATGCGTCATCAAAGGCCTTTTTCAAGGCACATTCATCTGACTGGGAAGAATCTGAGATCTGAGCGATATAGCTCACTTTAGATTCGGACCCATTTCTAAAAGCCATTCCGATCCAGACTCATGGGCCTTCGTTAACACCAGAATCATAACAACTTTGAGATTCTGTGATTCTGGAAGTCTAGATTAAAAAAGGGAATCAACTCAAGCTCAGAAATCAGGATTCTAAGCTTCAGGTTCTTGGCACCTTTAACCTACTGGCCGTTACTTTCCTACGCTGATAGGAACTCTGGAATTCACGAGACGCGCCTGTATTATTGCTAAAAAACATATTAGTATTGGAACAGAAAGTGTATAAAAAATTAAGCATAAAAATCATATTTTAGTGATTTTCGATCATCGAGTATCTCGTGAGAGATTTCATATATGTGATATCTTCCGACAGCTGGTGGTACCAGAGTCTCAAAACGCTCAAAACGGTATTGTTTCGTTGTTAAAGATTATTCCCCGCTTTTGGACATCAAAGTACACGCCATCTAAGTAATAGACCTTGAGGTGAGGAAGTTTACCGAAAATTGGATCCTGATGCATCAAAATCTCCGATAATCTGCTCGCACTCTCTCTGAGAATATCGCCGTACCAGGATTCGAAAAATGGCATTCGCTTCTCGCACTGAATAGTTCTGTAGTCACAAATGTCTGGTAACAGTTCATGCCATTGTTTTTTTCCTTTTCAAGTTAGGATCTTTGTCAAAACGAGTACGTCCTATCCTTGAGAAAATATCCCCATTGTTTATTTTGAGGTTCACAAGCTGCTTTTGACTTCTCAAAATGGCGTTGTGTAGGTAGCACAAGGAGGCTCGGGCATGGGGCTCGAAAGAAATGCTGAACAGGCTCAACTGATTTCGTAATTTGCCATCAAGAACTTTTGCAAGTGTCTTTATATCTGATTCCACGTTGGTCTGCACAGTATACTCAAATATAAGTGAGAGATTTTTAAGCAGATGCAAATATTTGCTAAGATCATACGAAAATTCAGTGGAATGATGATCGACATATTGCTCCCCACTAGGACAATACCCTACAAATTTCAACTCAAGAGTTTTCAAGATTCCAAGATTCACCCCCTGGTAAAGATCAAAGCTTCTTCGTGAATCATAGAAATCCAAGAATTGACCCTCAATGCGCAAAGAATCTAATTGGAGTTCGTGATAACGCATAAAATTGGAGATGAAATACTCCCAAGAATGGGTGTTCATTTCTTCAAGCTCAAAATAGCTGTCGTTACTCCAATGTGTAACTGCAATTGAAAGTTTTCTGAGCTTGCGATAACTTCCCAGAGAGGTCATTGAACTTGAAGCATGCGCATAAAAATCAGGAACAGTACCAATCAGTGGCTGATAAAGTTTGAGTTCTGTCACGTTGGGTTTTTCAATACTCGCTGACGGCACGCAGCACGCCAATGTTCTCACGTTGTCGAGAGATTTCCGGGGAATTTGAAGAATACCTTCATAATGAAAATATTTGAGACTTGTATAGGACAAAAGCTCTGGTACCAAAGACACCTCGTCAGTGTTACCCACAACAATGCTTTCTACCATGGCAGCTAGCTTTTTGTTTTCTTTGAGCACATCCACTAAAATCACAGTCTGCCGAACATTCATAATAGTACAGTGGTAATAAGGCCAGATGGACTCTTGCACTCTAATATCATCAAAGTCCACTTCATCAACCATGATGATAAATCTGTATAAGACGCGAGTTGCAGGCCAATAAAGATCTCTGGAAATTGTACGGATGTCAAGTAAGTATTTGGTTTCAAGCAAATCAAAAATCATCTCCAAAATTTGCAGAGGAAGCTTTTCCAAACAGACAACAGAAGACTCCATCTTCCTCTCTGGATTTTCCCTGCAATTACGTTTGGGGCTGACAGCTGGCTTTACTATTCTGAGCTGTTCCTGGTCCATTCTTTATTAGTATTGGGTGTTATGTCACGGCAGATGAAGCAGTACTATGAGTGACAATAGAACCAAAGATGCAGCACTCAAAATCCTATTTAATAAAAGAGATTATTACACAAAATTATTCAGATATTGTTGACAACACCTATTTACAAAAAATCGAGCGGGTGTTATGTTGTTGATACGTGTTTAAGTCTACTTGGCTCTTGGCGAGCGTTGAAACTAAACGCAGTATACGTACCAGTGACAATGCCGTAGACTTTCCTTCTGTGTGTATATGGACTCAACTCCTTATACACAGAAGGTTTGGAAGCAAGGACAGAAATAGTCGTGAGGTCCGCTGGAGAAAGGATAGGATTAGACCTGACTTCTATGTCATTATGAGAAGCATAGGAGTCCTGGTCCTGAAGAGGGTCTTAGAATGAATCCTCTTCAGTAGTAGATCCATTCATGTTAGTCTAGGAACGATTAAAGGTGGATATATATTAGTCTAAATAGGAAAACACCCACAAGGAGAAAAACTCGAAGAGAGGAAGAGAAGTCTTCTTCCTTTAAATTATCTGCACCATAGAGATGGCTTCGCACCGGATGCAGTAATCCGGACAGGATATTCCATAGGGCTACAGCGAACCTCAACAATTCGTTTGATAAGACGTTTGTTCGGATGTTTGTTTTGCATGCGCAGATCAGTGATCACGTGATTTGGACATGACAAATTGTCGTTTTGTGGGGGGTTTCAGAGACAACCTAAAAGACCAGTGGAACTGAGTGTTTATGGAATTCGGTCGTGCACTCAGTGAACATTTTACCAGCTCACCCCCCGCTCCATCCCTACCAGAGTGATGAAATTCTCAATAAGTCAAAAATTCATCAAAGCCACCCAGAGAAATGTGCTCATTGATTAGAGCGCACACCTGTATAGTGAATGGAGAGGTGAAGCACATTGAAATGTTGGAGTTCGGTAGATTGAAGGACAGATGGCTGGTAGAACTATTCGGTTTCATAAGGTTCGATATAAGCAACTTCCTATGAGACGAGGAACCTAGTGCATAGAGCTATATCACAAAATGCTTTACTGTGCACCACAATAGGAGCATTACACTGTGTCTGTATCGTCAGTGGTTTCACGAAACAGGTACAGATTCAACTACTGAATTCCCAATTTTACGATGAAGCGAATCAGGTACATTTTTATGAAGCAGACAGGATTTTTGACATAATTATCGTTATATCAACGTACTTATCTCCACCATGTATTGGTGGAATAAATTAATTTTTGGTATTATCATGAATTCTACTCCAATCACTGGAAGACATGCTTTGGATGATCAATTAAAACGCTGAACGCTCAAACTAAGACGCCCTTTTATCAGTGAGCCTGATGGAAAATACCAGTATATTCCATGATGTTCTGTCTGAGAGTTTTTCAATAAATTTCATCGCACTCAATTTTTCAGACAAATGAAGAGAGTACCTACCAGCACCCATATCAGGTACGAGCAGATGAATCCGACCTTTCTGTGCTGTAATATCACGGATAATCGGTTTGTTTGACGACGCCCCGTTTCAGCCTAGGCTCTCATTTCTTGCCATCTGCCTCTATCATTTTCAAGACTGCAAGGAGAAACCTACATGCTGCGAAACAACAATGTGCATGTACCCTTCGATTTCAATAGGCTCACTTTCTGCACAACGCCTTCAAAGAATTCAATCACCTCAAGAGAAGTTTGATAATTGAAGTTTCTTTGAGATTCCACGAATCCACAGGTTTCTCAATCAAAGGGTAAGTATTTTGCTATGCGATCTAGTTTTGCTTATCTGGGCTTTAGCGACACTCGAATCTGTGGTCTTTCTGGCGCATCAAAATTCCTCTGAGCAAAAAACACAGGACAATCATGACGAATGTTCAGTTAGAGCATGTATTGCCAAGCAACATGAACACTGGCATAACGGCATATCAAGAAAAAAAAAATTATGTACGAATCAGGGTGTTGGAGATAAGCGCATCTTTCTGTTATAACGCTTTCGTTTGAGTAATTCCGCTGAGAGAAACATGATACTATCGGAGACTCTGCAGGACACTTCATGACTTTAAATCTCATTGAATATCCTGGCAGTGATAATTTTGATCTGCCATTGCTGGATGGCATATTATGCCTAAAGCTTGATATGGTGATGGGCTGCTTCAACCAAATGCACGATTGTCGAGAAGCTAAGATCACATTTGTTCTATTAGAGCGATTTTTGCCAACATCATTGCAGGAAGCCTTGGAATTTGGATCATCAAAGGTAATGGTTGGCTAATTGTCTCGATTCCATAACCCAGTTGAAAGTAAATTATATGCACGTCTTCATACCATTCCCTTTGTAATACTTTTCTAAAATAATGCCTCAAAAGTATTTTGGGCACCACAGTCCAAAACATCGCCAGCCTCATCCGTTTCGTAATTAGCAACAAGCATAAGATTGGCTAGACTAATTAACAAAATGCACATGTGATCTTTCAAGTCAATTAACACGTATCATCTGTAATTTGTCAATGATATAAAGCTAGCCGGATCCGAGGCTTTGACTAGAATATTCAACATAATCAGTCAGTAACAATCGTAGATCAAAATCTTTTAAATCAAACCTCAGTATAAAATCGATGCTTTCCTCAGTAGTTGATCAATATAATGGCCTTTCCTCAAAGGGTCTAGCTCGATCAATAGGTGCAACAAGCGCAGCGTTTCGTCATCTATCCCCGCCATAGACTTTTGCTCTTCTACTCCACGGTTGAGAAGTGCTCCAAGAAAAATCATTGTTTTGAGACACCAAACGTTTTCGGAGCCAGTAGGGCTGTCTTCCTTTTCGAGAGCATTTAATTCTTTGACACATTCTAGTTGCAGCTCGAGAAGCTCCTTATAAAATTCATCCGAAAGCTCCTCAATGAGTACATCTTCAGTAAGAAGCCACTGCATGTAGAGCCATACCGAAGTGTCATCAGCATCCATGAACATGCCTGTTTTCACCAAATCTAGTTCGTGTTGTAATAAGATTTGCGAAGATTTGAAGAGCATGGCAGATCCATTTTCGGCGGCCGAGTCCAAAATCTGACAGACATCTTCAGTTTTCCGTAGATGTCGGAAGATTTTGATGATCAAGTTCATGCGATTGTGCCACGCACTAAAGTTCGAAGTGCTTTTGTTGATGGTCTCAGTTGTGTAGTTGAACTCGCGGAGATCGATTTCTATTTCCGGTTTGTTTGGATCCATGGAGTTCGTTCTTGCTTCGGATTCAATGTGGCTCACAACGTAACGCCTATAATGCCAGCCATGAAAGTTTCTGCTATCCATGGCTAAAACCTTCAGTGCAATCGCCAATTCACGTGCCCAATCAGCACTTTGAGTTATGTTCAAGGTCTCGAGACACCAGCGGCGATGGTTCCAAATCCAGTAGCATTTGGGGTATCTTTTCATCATTTCCATCGACATGCACAAGTCAGAGTTAAGGGCCTCTACCCTGTCGACATCACCCGTCTCGAACAAGCGAGCGAATATGTTTCTCCGAAAATTCCAAACGGCATTAAACTCAGGGTTTAGCTCGAGGAGTTTAGTTGTTTCGAGAAGAGATTCTTCGGTGTAGATTTCTTGTTTTTTTTTATCCAAGACTTTCTTCGTGAGGGCCCTATAATGAGCCACTTTCACGCGATCTTTTTCTAGCTTCAGCTTACGTGCCTGTTCAGATAGGTGTAACCTTTTGACGCCGTGTTGCTGTGCGTTAGTAAATCAGTTCACGAGTTTGCAATTTTTTGGTGAACGTACCATTTCTGTGGCATGTACGAAGAATCGGTATAGTGTTCAGTGACTGTGATAGCGAGCTATGCGATCTAATGCGCGACCCGCAATGAGGGAGGCTCAAGATGAAAGAGCCATAGCCCCATGAGATAGAACTTCATTCCTTAAAAACAAAAATTGCTTCCAGGGACATTTTTCGTTGAGCTTTTATTACCAAGAAACATGCTATGTAACAAAGATCAAATAGTCTGGGTCTCGGTTTAATTTTCATCTTTCTAGTCTCATTGTATGTCGGGTCGAAATTAATAGTACTTTGAAAACTCGCCATGATTTGTATCAACACGTAAAAAAGAAGAGCAAAATGAAAAAGTGAATTTGATGAATTCTCTTCTACAAGTTCTGGATCCGATATTATACAATGTGGCAAGTGTGACGACAGATATGGCGTTGTTCATGTAGAGTCTGATTGAGGCACGAAAAGTCGCTAGGGCCTGTAGCCTCTTTTTGGAAGAGAAAAGTATTCGGCGAGTTTCGATTATTCTTGCGTTTCATGCTCGAGATTACCTCACTTTTCCAATTAAAATTTACCACGGTTCATTTCTCGCCATATGAAGAACGATCGTGGAGTCATATCCGGTGATATGACGATTTTGGCAAATAATTCCAATACCATTCACTGCGGTCATATATAATTGTGCATTTGACGTCTTTCTATATACATGTTGCAGTCAGGGTGTATCACTTACGCTTCCACTGCCTTTAATTCCATATACCCAGCAGGCACCGGAGACAAGGACCCATCCTGATGCGATGCCTTGAAAAACGAGTAGTTCAACACAACATCATCAATGTTCCGCATGGCCGAGTCTTTTGCAAAATCCGGGTCAATGAAGAAGAATACAGGCATGTCCACCTCCTCGCCCGCAGCCAATCTCTGCTCCTCGAAACAGAAGCATTGGATCTTGTTGAAGTATGGTGCCACGTGATCGGGACTCACGGAGTACGTGGCCATTCCCACGATATCTTCTTTCGATAAGTTTTTCGCTCTGTAAAATACCAATGCGGTCTCGCCCGGCACTATATACACCTCCTTTTGAAGTGGCGTGAATTTCCAGGGAAGGATACCTGACGCCTGGCACGTGAAACTGACTCTTATTCTCTTGTTTGTCTCCACAGGAATCACCTTATCTGGTGTGAAGAGACGGGTATCGGTGATGGGGTTACCTCCCCATCCTGTCCGCTTACAGAGGTACCGGTAGAATGGCACGGCGACACAAGAGAGCCCAGCAAAAAGCATGATCACAGAGCCAGAGTAGTACGCAGCACTCCGATTACGAAACTTCATTCTTTCCAGCTGTTCCCAGTGCATTCTTTGAAGGCTGTCCTGGGCTGCTTTCTTAGCCGAGGAATCCTGGCGCAAAGGGCGATAGGTGCCAAACTTCTTGGTACTTTTATACCTCAAGTCATGTTTAACAGTTGCAAGGTTGTTTTTTATTAGCCTCAGAAGCCCTAGCATGTTTCTTTGAGACGCTTGGTGAAGAAGATGTTGGTTAAGTTCTCCGGAGTTGGCAACTATGTGGCGTAGATCTGAGCATGAGGCCTCCGGCAGGAAACGGCCAGTGCGTGGTGCGACATCTCTTACGACTGGCCAAGCACATCGCTTATTCGATGGTCCGACCACAAACTTGTTCCCTCAAGTTAAAGCAAGGAAAGGCCCGAATACAAAGCGAATTCATGCCTTCGGTGAAATATTTATGCCAAGACTGGAAGAGTCCCAGTATCTCCTAGAAGAGTAGCTCCTGAAGCTTCTCATTGGTGTACTGGTCGTTCAATGACATCATGCCGTTGAAGGTCTCGTCGTTTGTCTCCTGCCTCATCTCGAGAATCTTTTCCTTCAAAAATGCCCGTAAGTTCACTGTATAAACGGGATCCTTGCTATCAAGCAAGCTCAGATACCTGATCTTCTCGCCATGAGGTAAGATGTCTGCATCAAGATAGGAGTAGTTGTCGACCTCACTATAGATGTAGTCACCCTTATAAGCCTGGCTATTTCCTGATACGTCTTCCTTCACTTCCTCTAAGTACAAAAAACACTTGCGGAAGGTATCTCCGAGATGCTTGGCAAAATCATGCAAATCTTTTGGAGCTGCGAAAGCAAGAAGTGATACAAGTGCCAAGAGATTGACCTTCTTGTTGCGTGGGTTCCCGTTGTTCTTGTAGTATGAGACCCAAATCTCCATAAGCTTTGCAGCATCAAGCGATAAATGACTGCAGATTTGAAAGAAGGCTGCGGGAGATTTCCAAGCCAATCTCGACACCACAACCAATATCTTATTTGCAAGCACAATGCTTTGATTTTCATCGAACACATAGTCTATCATGCTGTTCATCAAACCGCTACTGATAAGACCATTGATAAAGATATCGTCATTGCTCTGCAGAAGAAACAAGATGTCCATCATCGAGATGAAAGCATCGAATGCGTCATCACGCATGGTGGAGATGTAGCCTGAGAGTACGCGAAAAATTTCAACCCCATACTCAGAATCAAAGGTTTTTGGAGCCAATAGAGCGTAAGATCTAGCGATTGACAAAATAGTGGTCAAAATTTCGGTCGAATCAACGAGCGCCGGGTGTACAAGGCCGAAGAAATCGATCAACTCAGGTTTGATGTCAGCTCCGGAGGGGTAATACTGAAGAATCGACAACCATAGGTCGTAGCCGTCCTCAGACAAGAGGTAGTAGTATTCAGACGACTGAGTGCAACAACTCTTGATTAATGGAATCGTGATAAAATGTGTCTCTGTCGAGTTTTGGTTCAACGAAATGACCAAATTCTTCAACACCCTGAGTAAAGAAGTTTTGAGTATAGACTCGTCGTTGTTCTCTGCGCCAGAATTCTCCCAGTACCCAGGCACGATTTGCAAAATATTAACAAGCGTTGCTTGATCAACCAACGGGTTGCATCTTTCCAATAATGCAGCAAGAGTGTCCAAGATGTAAAGCTTGGACTCTGTGAAAGAGAGATCGCCCAACATTGCAATCAACAGCGAAACGAAGTCCTTGAGGAATGGCTGGAAATCCTGCTTGGCAAAGTCCCAGTCATTAATCACAACTCTGAGACTTTGAGTTGCCGTGAGCTTGACAACCTTGTCGTTGATTTTGTTGTTTACATCCATGAAATTGAGCAAGAGTTTATAAATCTCCACTCGGCTTTGTCTAGAACAATTGACGACAACCCAAGTGCTGATTATTAGGCAGACTCTTCGTTTAATGATCTTGTTTTCCACGTGGTCATTACGCAAGCCCTCGGGGATAAAGACTTGCGTAAGTAACTGATCAAAACTCACTTTATCGGCGATTGAGTCGGCAGACAACTGGAATGTGCAGAGGGTGGAATCCTTGATCAAAATATTTTCCAAAGACTCGTTATTGGCCAAGCCACTGGAGATCTTGTTCAATATGTAACCTGAAAGGTCTTCATTGAGGTACATGATGAGATCCTGGTAGAAATTCTCTGCACAGTGTCTCACTTGAAATTCCCAGGAGGAGCCCAATTCCTCGTTCGTCCACTCTTCAGGCTCAAGAAGCCATGACTCCAAATCCGCAGGTTTGAGACGCAAGTACCAATTGATTATCAAGTCGCAAAGTTCGATGATTACCTGCGGTGTAAATAGCTGCGTCTTCAAAAGCGCGATTGCGTGGTTAACCTCTTCCTTATCATTGCGCTGCTTAAGCGTGACGGCGCCCTGTTTGTACACGTAAGCCACTATTTTTTTCAAGATCAAGAAGCCTTTGAGTGCCAATGCAGCCCAAAAATCATTTTCCTCGGAGCTCGCATAGATTGTTTCAGCTTTGTTTTGAAGCAACGACATGAACGTCGAAATGATCTCCTGTGCGCAAGGCATGAGAACAAATCCTGTGGGGTTGGAGTTGATGAGGTTGACATAGAGTTTGCTGTACAGTTTCACGAATTTCTCGAGAAGGTCAGAGGAGTACTTCTCGTGCTCCATCACCAAGCCCTGTAAATGGCCAATTGAGATCTTGAGAAACTCAGCAATATCCTGGTTTTTATGTGGCTGCTCGAAACCTTCGGGGATCACGCGCCGAAGGACTTTCAAGCACATGTAGCAGACTTCCATCACGCTTAAGTCCAGCGTAGAAGTCCACAAGTGAAAAAGCTTCAAGTACAGTTTCACCAAGACAGGCAAAAGAAGAGGCGCCTTGCTCTGAAAAGCATGACGGGCTCTGCCAATACGCACCATCGCCACCGCCTTGACGACCTGGTTAAGAATCACCAAGAGGTTGTTGGACGCAATCAAGTTGTTCTTCAGAAACACATACGTCTCTAGAGTCTTGCTGACATGGTCAAACAAATCGGGCCACTCTGAGGGAATGTCAAATCTGACTATACGTGCCACTGCATGTGCATTTTGGATGGCCAACTGCGGGTTTTTCTCGTCGAGAAGATCAAAGACCCTGTTCCGGATTTGCGCCTTCTCGTCTTTGCTGATGGCATTGGTCCGCGATGTGCGCCAATACTTTTCCACGCCATTTTTGAAGCAGATGATCGCAACCCACCTGATGCTGAGCGGCAACTCTGTTTTGAGGTAAATATCCTGCAAAAGATAGTGATACCCACGCTCGGCCTCCCAGATTTTGAGCTGCTGCTCGGCCTGCTGTTGCACCTCGCCTCTATCAGGCTGCTCGACTGCATTGAGCACCTCCAAAAGAGCCTCGAGTGTTATGGCCATAATCAATTCCGATTTCTACGTTGTAATTTTGCTTGCTGACGGGTTATGAGGGCCAGGATACTTGGTCCCTAGCTTTGGAAGTGCGGCCTGACCGATGACCCGCACCTGCCGTGGATTCTGGCATATGGGCTCACGCGGCGGTATATTGATCGCGGGCAGTGAGGGATATCCTGGATAAATATTGGACCAGATTTGAGCCCAGCTGTTTTTAGAATAGGTGGTGGCTGGTAGAATTGGGACCTCCACTGCTCTTTTGTGTAAATATGTCAGGCCTGCATTCACGAATCTGCCTGACATTCTTCTTGACACCAGCCTGCAACAAAGTGCGGTTGCAAGGTCCAGGAGCGAGGTGTTAGAAGTCGCAATGGATAATGCAGAGCTACATAAAGAAATGCCTAATGGCTAATCATCTTTGAGCTGTCGTCATTCAGAAGCCACCCACATTGGACCCATACTCTTTTGCGAAGAACCGCGCATACCTGCGAATATGGTGATAAGCCACAAGATGTTACACCCCGCTGTCGCGTAGGTGTCTTGCTGTTCACCCTTCGAACCCATACGACTTGGTAAAGGCCACATCTCTGAATAATACGCGGTTACAGTTTGTGACTCTTTACCATCGGTTTGTTTCATCTCCCTCCTTCCACTCTTTCTCTGTATAGCCGAGCTCCTCTTTGACTCTCCTCACGACACCGGCGTCTCCAATATTCTTCCCGATATTGTCACTGATTTTGATAGAGGGGTTGCCTGCTGCAGATGCCATCTTAATCACGATATTAAGGGGCGGTGACTTCCCTCCTTGCGCACCCGTGCTGCTGAAATCGTTGGTGAAGAACGTGCCAATTCCGAAACTCACCTTGAGGCCGTCCTGGTCAGCACATTTTTTATACTTGAGACATTTGCCGATATTCAATGAGTCACTGAAACAAATGGTTTTGGAATATGCAGGATATCCCAAGGCCTTGAAGTGAGCAGCTATTTTGTGGCAGTAGAGCTCGGGGTCTCCAGAATCTTGTCTAACACCAGTATAGTAGTCTGTGTATGGCTTTGTGAAATTCTTAAGGTACGCATCCGTGCCGAAAGTGTCAGTTAGTGCCAAGCCACAATGATCTGGCCCAAACGTTTGTAACCAATATTCCATGGCAGTCTTATTAGCATTTGTGTAGTCCTGGGTTATGGACGCTACACCCATGAACCACTCGTGTGCCACTGTTCCAATTGGTGCAACGCCATATTTTCGAGCATACGCCACATTCGAGGTGCCCAAGAAGAGTCGAGCCTTCTCTGGGCCCATTTCCTGTGCCGTTTCCATGATTGCTCTCACCACAATATCCTGTGCTTCTCCCAGTCTTCTTCTGCGAGTACCAAACTCGCTAAAGGCGCAATTGTTCGATAAAAGTTGGCGTGTTTTTTCCGCGGCTATGTCGTACTGACCGTCGTAATTCCACTCTGTGTCGACAAACTTAAAATAAGCCTCTGATACGAGCGACAAGATATGGATCTCATATGGGATTGTCTCGTACCACAGTCCACTGATTTCTAGATAGAACTCATCCAAGTCTTTCTCGTCGTTGTAATACTTTACCTGGCTCGGTGGATCCAACTTAAACGCCTTCAACGAATCCAAATACTCTCGAGGAAGCATCGGTAATGTCTCGCGAAGATACGAGATTTCATCTGGCAAGAACCTCAATTCGCCCAATGCAAGGATCTGGGATTTCAACCAAGATATGGCCGCTCTGTTCAAACTAAGTTGGCGCGTTCTATTTTTGTACCTATACGACACCGGCACGTCCCGGAAGTGCTTATGTACAGCAGCCTGCATTGAAATTTTGTACAAATCAGTGTCTAATAGGGACTTTATTGCGCTATGATGTACCATTGTGTCAGTCAGTTGGTATTGTGTGCGTTGATGTGTGTTATCAGTGATATGGTCCTGGTAATTGATAGCCCGCATGCCTTGTGCGATTCCCACACGACCGCGGGAAAGACCGTTTATGTTGGTGCCGAGGCTTTACAGATAATCAGTTTACATGCTATAATACATATACTTTGGCAATTTAACAACGCACTCGATGGGTGGAGTATATTTAGGGGAGTCATTTTGGAACATTCACAATACGCGCTCATATGGGCTTCGATCGGATCTGAAAATCTCCTTTACCCTTTTTTTTTGCCGGAGGCGTTTCACTGTGAGGTTTATTACATGTCAAAACTTTGATTGCACCCTTCATTATTACAGCACATAAGCTTTTATTCCAGAATATCATAATAATACGTGTGCTTTGGCCATCGTCTTTAGCTGCAAGCACGATTGCGAAACGTTTTAAGCACTTTGAATGTGAACCTCCGTTTCTAGTAGTGCTGATCTTCTTTATTTTGAATGTCACGTTAATCGTGTATAAATATGATAATATAATGGCAAGAGATATGTCAAAGAAGCAAAAAGATAATGACTCCGGCGTGATTCGAACACGCGCATCTTACGATAACAGAACTTGAGTCTGCCGCCTTAGACCGCTCGGCCACAGAGCCTTCCTCGTGACATTTCTTGTTCTTTAATAAATATAAATTATTACCTGTTTTGGGATCAGTCTGTTACTTACGTGGCACGTCGGTGGGCTGTACATATGACATTATGTATTTTGTGTATTCCTTGCTAAAAGATGTAGATTGAAAACATCCAGGCCGTGACTAACGGAAGGGGACGGGCCGAGCTAAGACACTTGGTACGTAGCTGGGAGCTGTTTAAAGGTTTTTATATATATTATTTATATAGTTTTGCCCCTTTAATCAGATGAATCAACCAAAA